GCTAAGAAACTCAGGCAACGAGCAGGAACAGTAAAAGGCTTGCAGCATCGCTCCTCAACTGAAAGAACGGAACAGAAGCCTACAAATAGGCCTCATGTATGGAATGAAACGTTCATTCAACCATATTTCATGCTGTAGACCACAGCCCCGCGTATGGACTAGCAATTTCATACTGCCCCTTGAATGACAAATGAACTCCATCGGGACCTAAAGATATGTCACAGTTACGGATGAATCCCTTATGCCTCTAAAGCTTCATGCCCTCATATTCTGCGCTTACCACCTTTAAAAAGGCATTAACTTTGTCAACGTTGCTGCTAAACATTGCACCTTCCTCGGTTGACTTCAAGTACCTAGTCCCAACCTTACTCCAGCGTAAATTTGACACACTACCACAGAGTAAGCGTGAGATGCATCCCGTATCATCTTGGCAGTGCAAAATAGCGCCATCTTCTACCGTGAGGGGATCGCTCAAGGAGCACAAATCGTTTGTGCCGTTCTGAATAATTACAAATGTGGGGAGACTGCGCTGCTATTGATGATAAACTGTCCTGCGTGTCATCGATTTTCCAGCCACCCTTACAAACAAAATCAATCAATACATTTTGTATTCCAAAATTGGGTAAAAACGCGTGGTCAGTTTTGTGTTTTATGGCGTCTCTCGAACGTATGATAAACCGAATGACCAACCACAGAAACTTTGACCTTCAATGTCAACGCAGCTCCACTTATTGTCGCCATTAAATGCAGCATATCTGTGGCGGACACAGGGGACAACTTGCATACTACAGAAAAGGTGAACTCGCCCGGTGAATAACCAATTCTTACAGATTAGTCTTTATTTAATATCTATCATTTTCGTCCGAGAGTTTGTGCACGGTAACCTTTGCCCTTAAACAACGGTGCGGTGATACATCGTTCTGTCGCGTTCGGCCCGGCAGCTGGTCACGTCATATAACCGCTGCACTCACGTATGCGTAAACATGTACTTGGCCGGTTAGATTTTGTCGTGCCATTCGCCAGTTGAGTGCTTGGCGTGATGTCGGCTCTACGTTGAAAGCAAAGACTTATACTAGCTAAATCAAGTATCAAAATCGTTTCGTAAAAGGAACACGTCTGTAAAAGTAACTCTTCTCTGTGAATTTAATGATAAAAGTATGTCAAGAACGAATGCTTGTGCTTGCTCAAAAGGCTAACATTACACATGTACTTCAACTTGTCATTTCGTTTCTCATGTATTGCTGCAGGCTCAGCCCACAACGGCAAGCTTCCCTGCACTAGTCTAATGACTAGCGGTGGTAGCCAAGATCGACAGAAACTGTACGCAAACAACCAATGACATGTCATAATTGTCAGCATGAGAATCACACCATGCACGTTGACATGAATGTTTTTTGCATGTCTTGTGACGTCTTGAATTTCATTGTTTGGCTGGTACTGACAACCACAGTTTGGAATGGGTTCAAGCTGCACGACACTGCATACATGTACAAGCACTGCATGAGTCATAATAGCATGCAAATCTTAACCCAAAATTACATAGATATAGCTATAATATTCCTTGGCAACTATTACTGTAAATGTGTTTTGAATTTTTGCAGTGTTCACCCATTTACAGAAGTGTTTGTGCTTCAAACAGTGTCTACGCTAATGTCAGTTACATGTTGGTCACAGTTAATTACGCATTCGTATTGCGCTATCAGATGATATTATATTTTTTCACATTTTCTACAACCAGAGTAGAACGAAATCAGATGCTGACAGAATTATGGGCATGTTCAAATTGCATGTAACAGATTGCTCAAGGATTGACCGATGGTTAAGATTGCAAATCACATTTTAGAATATATACCGGCCTTATCCTTCATTTTTCATTACTGGAATGTAATGAATTACTCGTAAAAAAATCATTCTGTTTTGTCTGAGATAATTCTCCAGTGTTAAATAAAATCGCTGTGCAGCACCTGGAAAAACCTTTCACCAATGAATGCACACCTTTTTGTAGCATTCCCGGTACAGCCCCATAGCCGATTGCGCCAGCCGCATCAGTGTATAAATGCAACGCTTTGTGAGACAGCCATTGTTCGGAGATAAAGAACGCTTTCCCATTGAAATGACGTAAAACATGAGCCATGCTTGCAAATCCGCCTTCGCTTCCAAATTCAGGCGGATTCGCTGATGGGGCTTTCTAATCCCAATAGTTAGATTGATCAGCCGTCTGAAGAACGCTCGACCGGGTTTCACCACCTTACATGCGAAATTCAGCAACCCTATTAGAGATTGGAGCTCTTTAAGGGTGATTCTGTTTTTCAGGAGTGTGGCTTCAATGACGTTAATGGCTTTGAATATTTTACCTCTGGCAACCGAGCTTCCATGGCCGCTGCGTTCAGCTCGATTCCCGGGAATGTAAGACAAGGGGATGATGCCTCGGTTTTATCAGGCGCAAGAGGAATCCCAACGCTTGCGCACATGCTCTGGAAATTTGCCAGGTCCTTTTCCCGCTGTCAAACGAATGGGAAACGATAAGGAAGTCATCCAGAATATGCACGACAGCAGGAATTTCAAGTTTATGAAGCGCCATCCACTCGACCGCGGAGCTAAACTTTTCGAAGATAGACCAGCTCGACCGGCAACCCATTGGTAGTGTTTTGTCCTAATAAAATAGCCCGTCCCGCTAGAGGCCCAACAAATAATGATCACTGCGATGGACTGGCACGATTTTGAACGCAGATTTAATGTCTACCTTCGAAAGAAAACTGCGAGGCCCCATGCGGCATAATAATGCGATCGCATCGTCGGTTGTCGCGTATTGTACCGAAAACAGCAATCTGGTATCCCATCATTTATTGAACTGCCTTTAGGGTACGATAAATGATGTACGAGGCGAACTTGTCCTGGTTGTTTCTTAGGTACCAGACCAATAAATCCTTGAATGGTGCAATGGCGAATGGCCCGGCAAGCCTACCGCTGGCGAGTTCTGCATTAAATTTAACCCGCACTGCCTCGGGGTGTTCTCGAGCAGATCTAAGATTCCTAGAATTCCTTTCCTGTCTGTGACCATCAAAACCCAATTTAAAACCAAACGTGAAGCCTTCTACGAGACATTTACATATAGCAGGGTCACAGCCATACAACCAACAGTTCAACGCATCTTTATTAACGGGTGTAGGATGCTTGCCCGTGGGGGGATGGTCCCCGTCCCTTTGTCGGCACATTTCTTTGTGGAAGTTTGGACTGCTGTTGGCCAAAATCGGCTGGCGGCGCCTTTGTGAGTGTTCCCCAACCCAGGGACACAAACAGCCACTCCAAACATGGCATAAAGGCTCATTTTTTTAATTCTTCATAAATGCTTCCACATAATTTTGCACGTCCTAAAATTATAGACTGTCCCTGAGGTCGACTTCATCCGACTTCTGGCTAGTCTTCCTGCAATAACTTTTTTCTCAATAAATATGAAGTTAAACCATTTCAACTGATCTACCCAAATCTTTCTTCATGGTCTCCGATTTATTTCATCCCTCTCTTATCGGAGTACCCTCCTTTTTGCACCTAAACAGAGATTTCTCGTTGCACTCCAGCCCCTACTTTCAGACCCCCATAAAAGTCACCTCTGTCTTTGAGTAATTCAGAAACTAACCGGAAGCTACAATGGATTCGGACGACCCGGCTCCACACCATTCGATTCCTGCTCTGCTCTCTTCTCAACCCCCACGAACAATACTGGAAGATACCCCCTTCCCTTGAGTGTGACACTAATGACTACACCACTTCTCAAATATCCTGATATCCCCATTTTATTCACTGGCTTGATGAGTGCAAGCAATAAATGGAGAAATGGACGAGATGCAGGTGGAGATGTGCCTGTGTGGCCAAGCATTGCCTCTGCAGGGCCCGCCCCGGGAGGTAAAAGAGTGTTGTCCCAGGACAGGGTAACGTCCAGATCATGCCTGGGTGCGCCAGTGGATAGTTGCTTGGTAGTATGAGGTGTTCAGGGACGCGGGTGGAGACGTACCTGCGTAGCCCGCCCTTATCTCTGCAGGGGCCTGGGAGGTAACACTAACAGGGTGTTGGCCCGAGGCAGGGTAGCTTCCAAATCAATCCTGTGCGTGTCGGTGGGAAGGCAGCTGAAGGCAGCGGCTCACGTCGTGAGGTGATCGGTGCTATTGGTGGTGGTAGGGAGACCGCCGTTGGACCTCAGTGCTTGGGAGCTGGGCGAGGAAATGTTTGCACCCTGAGTGCAGTGCCATTGTCCTGGGACTGTCCTTGGACTGAACAGGGAATGGTTCTTCAAGCAGGTGTTAGTGCGGAATCAACAAGTATGCAGTGGTGCAATACCACTCGATCATCTGCAGACTGACCCATGTTAGTTTAAAGGAGAGAGTGAGGCCGCGGAATGAACGCCGCACTACCTCGCTAGCCCCAACAGTCCCAGGGTCACCCTGTTAACCCTATATAAGGAAGATGGGGGACCGCGGAACGAATCATCACACTCCCTCGCGGATCCCCATGATCCTGGATCGCCCTGTTGACCCTATGTAGAGTACTCGGTGTTAGAGCAACGTAGAGTCAACGTGGAGCCTATGAAAATGCACACAAAGAAAGAGAGAAGAAAATACCACCACCAAAAAACAAAACAAAACAAAACAAAACAAAAACAAAAAATACAAAACAACGACCAGGAAATAAGGAATGTCATTTATTACATTACATTATGGTTGATCAAATTAAACACAGGAACGTGTAGCAGAACAGAAAACTCAAAAATTTGAAGATGTCAAATTTGACATGTCCGTTAAGAATCACGCTAAGGAAAAGAAGGACAAACATGGTGGAGGTGCTGCTCTGCATCATGGGTCTATAGAGGGTCGACTTCGGTTGATCAAGTTTTAGCGAATAGAATCGAACGCAAAGGAATTTGCGTATTTAGTGACTGTTTGGGTAGGTTGAGTGCAGTGGACGCATTTTTTTAAATAAAGAGTACACAGGGTGAGTAACAAGTATTGAATTTTGTATCTCAGTATGTATTTACTATTCATGTAAATTCATTCATCAAATTTTTGTTTTAACTTTATTTACTCCAAGTTATAAAGGTAAGGACAAACTACTGAAAAAATTAGGTCTTTTGTTGTACTACCATGTCTAAAGCAGAACATTCCAAACCTTCAACATACGATGGTTTATTACTCCAAAGATTAACAATTTACTTACTTTAAAAGGCTCTAAATTTCCATTACAAAATCATTCCTATGTCGGTACCATTATTTCCTGACCTATATCTTGATGACTGCTTTTTAATTGGAAGGGTGTATTTCATTCCAGTGGGTTGACATAAAGGGCCATTATTAATCTGCAATCTGTGATTCAGCATTGAAAACTTTTTTTGACTTTTTCTCTTTCCCACTTCATGGACATATTTTAGTTAATTTACTGATTAGCATTCTAAAATTTTCATTCGAAATGATACTCATTCTTACTTTTGGTAGAATCTATGATATATGTAATGCAAACAAGCACAAGCAGCTGAAATATCTGTGTACTTCATCTTCTCAAGGGCAATTTGATACAAATGTCATTCCCTGTTTCAAATTTTGTTTTTCAGGGGAAATGGTGATGTTCAGCACTGCTGTGATATTGGAAACAACCAATTAACAGATGACATAGTACAGTGTTCTCCACAACGGAAAATTTTGGCAGCGCAGTAGACATAAATGCGAGTGCGGTTTTCTCAATGATCAGTTGACTGTGAAAGGGTAAAAGAAATATGTTCAGGCAAATATAGGTTTACAATTTCAAGCTCACGTCATAAAAATGAAGCAACCCCTCCATCGGAGCAGAGCGTGGGGGCCGCTCAGGCATGGCACAATCCTTCCATCGGTGCCCGTGCACACTCTGCAAAGCAATGTCACATGCACTGCGTGGGCACATGTACACGCTTGCACAATAGAATGTACAGTACATGTACAAAAAATATTCGATGGTTTTTGGCAGCCAAATTTTTGGATGGTTAGGCAGCCAATGATCACCATGGGAATGAGGGTTGGGCATAAAGCAGTCAAGTTGTCAAACGCTACGTCACATATAGACTCGTGCTGCACTCAGCTCTTGATGTTCCTTGTCATTGTCAGTACATCATAAGCGTCTTCGGTAAACTCAAACTCGATCCACAAACTGCGGTAAACCTCTTTTTTATTAAATCTTGAGAAAGTAGACATTCGGGGAAAAATGCACTACTCAAAAAAATAGCAGGGCGGCACAAGTTTTAGCCAGGCGGCAAAATTTTAGCGGGCCGGCTCGAAATTTTGGCAGGGCAGTCCACCCTGCTAAAACAGCCCGTGGAGAACACTGTAGTTCATCTTTACTATACACATGAATCTGTACATGCAGGATTACTTTTTATAAGCCAACTTACGTGGGGTTTTATTCTATATTAATCCCTGAAAAGGAAGCTGAAAGTTTAAGTCTGTTATCACGGCAGCATGTTTTACTTTAATTTTACTTTATCCTAGCCAAGTACAATTCATTTCAAGCCGCTATATTAGATGTACACTTCCAACAAAGAATTCACACTAGAAACTAGGACCTAACTTACTACTACCATTACGCCAAGATAAGACAAATTGCAAAAATCCCTACCAATACGTGAGTCTGTCACCCATAGAATTGTCCTAGACTGACTCATGCCGACTTTTTTTAAGGTGACCCTATTTCATATGGGAAGGTTTGTTTAGTTAGGCCGAGAATCCAAAAAAAAAACCTCCTGAAAGCAAATACCTAATAACTTGAAATGACAGAAAGTCTATGCAATTGACCATTCTTATTTTCAAAACACATCAAAATAGTTTGGGGCATTACAACAAACCTGTGAGAGAAATTAACAAACTTAAAAAAGAACTCAAATGACTGAAATGTTTTAATATTTTTGAAAATAACTGAGGAATTGAACACTTTAAAAAAACAACCTAAGAAATCGAAACTCTGTGTAATATTGTTGAATTTAATCCTAGTACTTTGGGTCTAAAGAACTATACCCTATTTTGAAAAAAATCCCAAAAAAGTCACTCCATGATTGTGGCAGCAGATATCTGCCAGATCTCCAGTCAAACTGCATGTTGTTACTGAGAAGCCATGTAGGCAATCAAATCCACTACTCGGCAGCTGTATCCATACTCATTGTCATACCTATTGAGAAAAAAACAAATGTCAGAACATGAGAACTTTTTGTCAAATCAAACCGAAAATGTACGTATTGTACACGTATTACTTGCTCCATCCAAAGGATGGCTGGAGCTCTGATGTTACAAATACATCTTCCACAAAACCACAAACAACATTTGGGTTACTAGAATCAAATAAGGACAAATTTTAAATAAAATATATTAAAAACCCTACTTAATAAAACTAAAAATTACAAGAACTGAAATAGTCTGATAAATCTAAAAATACTATCTATTAAACCTGTCTACCATTGAGAGGAAAGTCAAATACTGACAATTCTAAGAAAACAATGAACTATTTTATATGAATTCCAGGAAAAAGTCTCTCTAAGGCCTTGGACTCTATTCTTATTAACCCTCATGATATTGCTGAACGAAGTATAAGACTTGAACAATTCAAGAATTCTCAACTCTTTTAGTCTTCAAACCTTTAAGTTATGATGAAATCCTGCAGTGTACACAAGATTAATACACAAGTATGGGAAATGACGAATTAACTGCTCAAACAAAAACACTGGGGGGCTCGAAGGGATGACCCGCAAAGAGCTGAAGGACAGAAGACAGGCCCCAGGAGGCAATGAGCTGTTTTGAGGGGGACACTCAATGAACATACCGTAAAGGAAGTGTTTGAGGGCATGGTTGACTGATAGAGCCGACCAGGAAACCACTATGAATACCGAGTGCAGAACGGTAGTTGCGTATGGTTGCTACTTGCAGTCCTTTTTTTCTTTTCAATTTTCATGCTCATGTGCAATATATTATCTTCTGGGAGACCTGGTAAACTGTGTAATGTTGTAATGCATGTATTTTTGTATGATACTATTACTGTTGCTTAGTTGATTTTTTTTTAGCATTTGTGTTGTTTGCATGTTTGTTTTCACTGTTGTTCTAATTGTGGACGATGTGGTTGTTGCTGTTGATGCTTTTGTTGTTCCGTTGTTTTTTAGTACATTTGTGTGTGCTTTTTTCAGTCAGGGTAGGTGCTCACTTAAATGAGACAGGGATTCATTACTACCCTGTGTTTGTTTTCGTGGGTTGTTGGGTGTTGGTGTCTTGTTTGTTTGTAGGGTCTTTGTCTGATTGGTTGTTTGTTGGTTTGTCTGTTTGTTGGTTGTGGGTTTTGGTTTTTTTTTACGGTTATATAATACGTTGTTTGTTCCTTTTCTGTTTTTCTGTTCGCTATCCTTTTTGTTTTGTATTGTTTTGTTTTTGGTCTGTTTGCAGCACCAGGAGAGCAACTCGATAGTAATTAAGTTTGCTTTTTTGCAATCCTACAGGGGTGTTACATGTGTTTTGTATCTTTGTGGGTGTGGTGTTGTTGCTTGTGCTGCTGTTTTTAAGTTTGAGTGTTGCTGTATTTTGTGTGTGTTTGTTTGTCTTTTTAATGGTGTAGATTCTTAATTAAAACTATATTTCTGAGCCTACATTTTATTTTTAATTTTGTAAACTGTAAATTTTCTGTGTTTTAATCCTGCAAATAAATAAATGAAACACAAGAAAATATTGGCTACTGTAGGTAAAGATGCCTCAGTAGGAGCTAAACCTTGTCCTTCACAATATGAAGTAAAATGCTTTTCTTATGCTGTTGTAGACTTTGCAAGTTGATTGGTGTCAACTGCCTGCGGCCATTTGCGCAGCATAAATAGAAAGGCCTGCTGCGTGGAATGATAGTTGGACAATGGCTAGCATGTCAGGTGAAGATCCCATGGTTGTTGGACACTGGACTTTGGTTGGTGGAGAAGGTCAGGTCTGAGTGGAAGGACTGGAAGGTCTTGCACTAACTGACGGATCAACCGGAACAGAGCGACAAGAAGAACATGGCAACACTCCTGTTCCATCTTGGACAACACTGCAAGGATTAGGGGTATTGGACAGAAGGCGTTGGCAAGTATCCCTTCCCAGCTGATACAGAGGGCATCTGTCGCCCAGGCTTGTGGGTGGGAGAATATGTAGCAGAACACCGGTAGCTGAGTGTTTTCTGTCAAGGCTAAGAGGTCAATATGTTGTTGTCAAGTGCCTTGAAGATTGACTTAGCCATGTTCCCGTGCAGAGTCCACTGTTTGGTGGATCCTTCATCAAGAAAGGGCATTGCAATGGACCAGCTGGCTTCTGGGATATGGTCTGTCTGCATTTGCCTTGTCAGGAGACAAAGGCATGGCGAATGCATGCCTCTTTGGTTATTTATATATGCGATCACTAGTGAGTTGTCCAGTTGAATCAGGACACGTTTGCACGTGACAGTTGTGCAAAAAGGGATGTAGCACACCAAAGAGTGCCTGGAATTCCAGAATTATAATGTGACTTCCTATTCTTCCTAAAACCGAGGTTCCCAATTCCCTGAGACCTGGAAGTTGAGACGCATTGGTACTTATCACCTGTGGATCCATCTTTGGGAAGGAGAGGCCGCAATCAGCTGTAGAGGTCGAGATGTTCCGTATCAGCCACAAGCGAAGAGGTGGACAGATGAAGTCCATAATGGGACCTGGAAGGTTGGTTGGGTCCCATTTGGATTGGAAGTACACCAGCTGGTGGAGCTGGAAGGGCCTTAGGCGCAACGTCTACTGCTGGCCTATTTCTCTACAGGCCAGAACCTTTCTGGCCGGTAGCTTCTAATCCCCCTTTTTCCTGTGTTTAAGGGCACTACCGCCTGGAGATTCTTTGTGTTGCTGCTTTCTAGTAGAAGTTAACTGCTGATGAAGAACACTATGGGTTTCTTTAATCGGCTTAATCCTACCCAGCCAAACAATGCGCCTTTGCGACCTATTGCAGACAAAGGCCTGGCATCTACTTCAGGCGGAGTGTTACGGCTGAGTGGTCTTCCAAAAAATGTCTTAACTGGCGCAGCTTTGTATTTACTGTGATCAAGAAATGTCTCAATAGGAATTTAACTTTGATCTTCAACAGATTTCGAAATTTACTTTTAAGAGTAGAGCTTTTGAAATTTGAAATATTATAATTATCAACTCATGGTCAACAAGAATACACCACACTGGAAGACGAAGGACCCTTACAAGTCATTTGGGCCAAAATCACTTGATGGGGTTGTTCAGACAACGGTGCAGAGCATAATGGTGAATTTTACCTTTTTGGACCTAATATAAGTACAAAGCATGAAATGTCACCAAACTTGATGCAAGATGTCGCGACACCACTCTCCACCGTATACCGGAAGGCGAAAGACCCCTCATGCATGATCTTGTAGATTTCAACGTTTCATGGGCCAAAATCACTTTTTGCGGTTTTACAGTCTGTTTACAGTATTCTTGAAAAGAATGTACAGTTTTTAAGAATAGAAAGAGTGGACATTCTTCAAAAGTGACTTCATACATGAACAAAAAACACTTGACATTAAATTACAACGTCAAACACCGTAACAGATGCGCTCAACAATAAAGCAGATTGTTTTAGACATTCAATACGGTTAACACTCAAATGTTTAGATTTGACCCGGTAACGTTTTCTGTTGAGATTAGCGATTTTTAATTGAAGCGAACAGCTCCTTCTGCTGCACTATATATGTTTTTAATGTGTCTCCTTCATTTTTACATACCTTTTGAATTTTTAGTTTCATATTTACATAGGCAGTTGATATTAACCCGCCAACGGCAAAAATTCCGTAAAGGTATTCTGCCGGTAGTCCTTTCTAATTGGTCCAAATCCATGACGTATTTATTGCCGGCAACGAAATGCCTGAACTATTTTACCGGTCTAATGCCTACGCTGCAGGCATAACGCTGAAGGCATTTCGTTGCTGGCAATAAAAACGTCATGGATTTGGACCAATCAGAAAGAATCACCGGCAGAATACCTTCACAGAATTTTTGCCGTTGCCGGTTTAATATCCATCTGCCTTTTACATATCCCTTTCATTTTAGTTTTATTTCACCTTTTTTCTATTTAAATTTAGATATTTACTCTAATGGTAACGTATAATTTTTATTATTTTATCCTTTTTCTTTGTGCATTTATTTTAAAATTTAATGTAGCAACTTTACTTTTGATCAACCCCTTCACGCCGGAAAGCGTCAAGAGCCGCGCCTGGAGAAAAGTCTAACCGGGAGGCAGCTGTAGCCGCATACCACACATGTAACTTTTATTCAGTGTACACCTGTAATTTCTGGGACCTTTGCATTGAATGGAAATCTGGGGCAACCTTAGCTGAAATAAATAAATTATACAAGTTGGGGCTGGGCATTGATGCTGGGCATGAATGGACTACTGGGAAGCGGGCACACGAGCCACGGTGCCCACTAAAAGCAAGCATAGACCGTGTGAACTTAGCGGGCGCTGCACTCTCCGCTGTGACCGAGCGTCCTTGGGTAGTTGGTGTTGTCGCGTGGGCAAGGCAAGTGCTTCATACCCCTGCAGGGTTCAGGACTACACAGAGCCAGGCTGTGTGCAGTGTGTGACCCAGCAATCTTGGCAGATAGGCCTGGTGGCCAATCTAGGCGTCTGCGGTTGCCATTAGCAAAATTGGGAAAATAAACCCGGTAGCCAGGTAGGTTGCGGTAAAATCTCTGTTGTTAAACAACTCTTTAAAACAACTTCAGCAATCACAATTCATGTAAAATTTTGCAAAACAGATTTAGAAACTTACATGTGATACTTCCCAGATGAATGAGATGATATTCCAAATGCATGTAATTTCCAAACGGAAGAATTTCCTTTTGATGACTGAGGGAATTCAAAGAATGAGCATGTACTTCCAATGTTGTAAACGTAATCTTCATTTGCAGAGACAGCAAACTGTAAGTTCTCAAATCAGTTACTCGGAAAAGTTACTTGGTGGTGGTGTAAAAGCTCCCCAGCTCCGTACAGTCATTTAATGTATTTCTGCAACTAACATATATATATAAATCCATGGACCGTGCTATACATTGATGATATCGACTGCATGTCTGTGTGTAACTTCATGTAAAGCATGTACTGTGGCTGTGCACCCAGCCGAGGAGTTACTCAATGGCT